ACCTTCCCAGGAAGATCATACTCAACAATCATTTCCTGCACTGGTTCGAGGACATGTGATATTGTCCAGAGAGTTGGAACATTTGGAGATGGAGTCATACCAATAGTGAGGGTATTCTCACAGAGGAACCGTAATGATATGGGCAAGTTCAAACAGTACAGTATGATTGCACCACAGGATATGACTTTTCCTGTATCATTCAAATGTCATGTAAGTTCCTTTCCACAATGAACATTTCTTTATCTACTCACCAGCAATCTTATTTGTCAAAGGATTGAACCAGTCAATGTATATAGCAAAGACAAGATGGTATGGTGACTGGAGGAATGGTCGAAAAGTATTCCATGCTGGGCTGTCATATATATCATGCATACGCGCAGGATTGAGGATTCCCTGAGATCGTGCAAAGGTCTGGTGCAAAGTCTCGTCGATGATGGATCGAGACAGTAGGAAGGTAAGCCATGATTCAAATGATTGGGTTGTATATAGGCAATTCGGGACTCTTTGTATGCCTGTCAGTGTTTGGCATTCATGGTACAATTCTGCACCACATCGACGGGACCGTCGTGATCGTTTCCAATTGCAATGAGGCGGGCCGCCTGTGGGGTACTGTTTGAAACATTCCGGGCAACATATAGTGCGAATTATGGAAGGCTCAAGGTGACCACGGGAGTAGACTGTGCGGATATCCACCGGAATATCTAGACCTTCGATAGCTGCTGTCTTGAATCCAGAAGAAGAAAGGGAAGCCTTGATAAGCCTCAATACCGTAAGCAGGATAAAGCGAAATGATCTGAGTAGAATGTTGGCTGCATCTCTACTAACACCAGCATGCAGAGATAGCCAAGCAACAACAAGACAACAGAGTTCAATGACTGGATCTATCACTGAATTGTGGTATAAGATATCAAGTGAGTTGGATAGTGACTATTGCATCACCTTTTGCTAGATCCAGAGGTGGGGTTACATGAAAAGGAACAGATGTTCTAGCATGCTCCTTCGAAGTTCCACTGACACGCTTGTATAGATGGCCAGAATCTCGAGACCGTGACGGGACTTTCTCGCGCTCGCGAGCCTCGTGTTTATTCCGAGTTTGTGAACTGACTCGGCACCCTGGGACATCCACACCATTATGGTCAAGGTATGTCGACTGAGAGCAGGTGCTACAGGTGCAAATGGCCTTAGGCATTTTGGACAAATTTGTAGTGAAAGAAACTATCGGTGCAGAAATCGACGGTGTAGTGATGGCAACAAATCTTAAGTGGACAATCTAATCGGATAATGACATTACTAACAATCATTGCGTGCTATTCAGAAGACATGAGGATAATAGACGAATGACATACGGAACACATGAACTGAAGTCATGTTACTCTAACATGAGGCGGACAATGCCCCCGGTGTTATCAATGTCATCCGTGTTGGTTGGGATAATAGAAGGGTGCGTAACGTAGTTGAAACTTACAACGCGTATCAGCACTCCTGAGTTAGAGAATGGGGAGAGTTGTGTTCGATCTATGGCACCTCCCGTGGTGATTGTGAGGTATTTTTGGCCTGGCGTGCTCCGTGGGCATGCCTTGTTAGTAGTATCATCCCGCTTGCAACAATAGAAAGGTGCTTAGTATTATTGTAACATGCGACGCGTGTCAGAAATTTGCTGGGAAGGGGAGAGTCGTGTTCGACCCACGGCGCCTCCGATTGGGATGTTTCATATAGGATTTCTTGATCTTCTGTATCCTCGGTCCTCCGGGGGCCTCGCCTTCAGTGTATTGGATGCGTCTGCGCTGAAGATCGTAGGTGCATGCGTAGTGTTGTTGCAATATGAATCGAGCTGGACAGTGGGGAGAGTCGCGTTCGATCTGTGGCGCATCCCATATTCGTTGTCCAGTTTGTAACATAGGTTTGGTCTGCTATGTCCCGTGGTTGCGTCTTGTTAGTATCCTCAAGCTTTAGATTATAGAAAGGTGCGTAAAGTCGTTGTAACTCAAAACACGCGTCCGTACTGAGGCGGAAGGTGAGACCAGCTGCGTTCGAGCCGCGGCGCTCTCCATAACCGACCACGTTTTGGCCGTCTGTGATGTCCCGGGGATGTGCTCCTCGTAGGGAGGGTCCGCGTTAGACTCGTAGGAGGGTGTGTATCTGACCTGCTGCCAGTGTACACGTCCGTAAGGTGTGGTAGGGGGGGGGGTAGCTGCGTTCTACCCGCGGCACTCCCCATGAAGATCTGTCGATAAATACTGCTTTGGCGTTCTGTGATGTCCCGGGGACGTGCTCCTTGTAGGAAAAATCCGCGTTAGAATGGGGGAAGAGTGTGTATCCTACCTGCTTCCAGTATACACGTCCATAGTAAGTGTGACGTGTGGTAGAGAGGGGTAGCCGCGTTCGGTCCGTGGCGCCTCATTGCCTCACTGGCTGGTTCTGATAGTTGTTTTTGGTCCTTGTTGGAATAACGTTGGGATCGTGATGCATCAAGGTTCTGGATACTATTATAAGTTGCAGATGTCGGACTTGCCGGTGGTCGTAAGGAACTTGTGAGGTGATGTGATGTGAGGCGAGGTAGGGAAGGAGACGCGCGCGTTCGATCCGGCGCGTCGTTAATCATGCAGCCGCGAAGTTCCCCCCGTGTATAATCCCCTCCTGCGTACAGACTTTTGGGATCGTAGTAGTGTATCGAGGTCCTGGTCTCTGGATATAAGTAACTTATAGATGATATTCATCAAGAGAGGTTGTTGCGGGAGTGAGGACGGGAGCGAGTGCTTAAGCACTTACCACCACGCCGCGTTCGACCCGCGGGGTCCGTAATTGCAATGTCGGCATTTGAGTTTTGACTCTTGAGTGACGTGAGTTGGAAGAGGTGCATCCCGGGAGACGTTGATTCATACGTCAAAATGTCAAGAGAATAAGATCGGCACCACGGAACCTACAGTAGTGCGAGGCGGCTTAAATGGAATGGGGGCATAGCTCAGCTGGGAGAGCAGCAGACTGAAGTTGCATCCCAAAAGAATCGAGTTCTGAAGGTCCCGCGTTCGATCCGCGGTGCCCCCATTTCGCCAGAACGTGTTTTTTGTTTGAAATGTCAATGGACGAGTGCTAGCCTGAGGTGAGGTACTGGCCATGCATGGGGCAATACAGGGGATTGGTAGGATATTACATATTCTCTATCGAAATCTGTGCCAACCTGAGGGCGTGGCGGCGATGCGACGATGGCGGGACGTGACAATGACGAGTTGAAGAGACCGGGACCCGGGGCCGAGAGAGAGCGCCAGGGCGATCAAACCATGGGTACCTGATCGGGCGACGCGTATGGGATCAATCAGAGAATAGCATTGGCACCGGGTGGTTGCTGGTCGCCGTTTCTCTCTCTCCTTCGTATTCCTTCCTTCCTTCTTCCCACCGACCTGACTCACGTTCCCACACCAACCTCTACAAAGCTCTCAAGCAAGAAGGAATACAAGACGAACAACTATGATAGCCCCCACCCCCGAACTAACGCACCTCCTTAGGCAGCTCAAATCCAATATCGATTTCTTGGTCGAGCAGGGACATGTGTCGCGCGGGGACGCTCAGTCGTTCGTTTCCAAGCTGCCTTCAACCTCTGCGTCCCCTGCGCCGGTGCCGTATACTCCTTACACCCCGCCGAACAATAACACGAGGGCGGTACCCCTCGCACCGAGGCAGCAGCAGCAGCAGGCGAAGGCGATTTGGGGGTATAATGAAAATGGCGAAGTCGGTCCCTTCCATTCCCCCTCCATCTCACATAGCGAAAACTAACGAGCAACGAACACGAAGGAGGAAGACCTATCATTCCACGCCGGTGACACTATAACCATCATCGAAGAAACGAACGCAGACTGGTGGACCGGGTCCGTACACGGCAAACAGGCGTTATTCCCCTCTGCCTACGTCGAGAAAATAGTTCCCACCACACCATCTGCCCCGCCCCCGTCCACGTCCATCTCGCAAGCACCCTTCGCATCGAACTCAAACGCAACGGGCAAGCCGTACAGGCCCTTCGGCGCAGCGCTGCATGGGCGAGACATACCACCCCCTGCGGGAGCGGGAACGAATTCAGTCGGACTGCAGGAGAAACCGGGGACGGAGGAGAAGAAGGGAAAGTTTGGGAAGTATAAGGAGACTGTGAGTTTCATCTTTATTTGTTTTGTTTGCGGTGTCGTCGCCTGGCGTGTATCTCTCTTCGTGGGATGGGATTCTTTCGCGCCTTCGATGACAGTTAGCATATCGAACGCGGTCGAACTGTCTGCTCGGCATGCAGTGGGTTGAGTGCTGGATGGATGGAGGGGGTGGCGTCAGATACGGAATTCCAGAGCTCGCGGAGGTTCGATCCTAGTTATCTGCTCTGCCTGGGGAGATTAGGGATGGCGCGCTGTGATTATGGCGACCTATAGCGTGGCCTCGGTGTCGCGTGGGACGGGATATATGCTTGCCATCTCTCCGTGCTGACATCGTCTTCGTCGAGCTCATCATCCTCTCCCCCATTCTCTTCTCTTTTTCGATTGGCCGTGTCTCTCCTTCCGCCCTCAAATGATTACTCACCCCATCTCTCCCCTAGATGGCACATTCCGCCGCAGGCGGTGTAGGCTTCGGCGCTGGTGAGTTATTTCCCCTCTTCTTCCTACCCCGCCCTTCCCACATGTGTTCGCCCTTCGCCCCCATCGTCAGCCCCCTCGCTTCGCCCTTAGTATACTGCTATACCCCTGGATCCGTTTCCATTCCCCCCACCCTCTAACTTCTTCGCGTTATCGAAACGATGCTCATTTTGATATAACAGGTGCGGCGATCGGCGGCGGCCTCGTCCGCGCTATCTTCTAGTGGCTCCAGCGGGGTGTTACTGGCACGTCAGTAGTTACCCGCGGGTGCGATAGGGGTTGAAGGGAACCTTGCGGGCGCGGGTGGCGGCCGACTGCGCAATTTCGTCATACACGATCTCGGGAGGCTATGTTTGGTTGCAGACGCTGGATGTGCCTCCCCTGGATGCTGTACGGTATGGTAGCAGGCGCTGGAGCACGGGGTGTGATCTACACCGCGGAGGAAAGCTGCATCGTACTTTGCGACATTGCGGTCGTTTATAGAGATTGCCCTTTGGGCTGAACGACTTCCTCCGGGGCTCCAGCTGGGGACATGTGTATTATCTGCTGCCGGAGCAGTTTGTAGTGAAAAGACCGAGCTCCGTAGGCGTTCTCGATTGACTGCTCCTGAAATGATAAATAACCCAACGAGTGTGCATTATTCTCTTTCTTGTCTACGAGTGTGTTACGATTTGATGCGCCACCGTAAGTGTGCCCGTCCCGGCCTTTGTGCCACACCTTTTCTTTCCTCTCTTTATTATGTAGACACAAAGGACACTCTACATATATATACCTACCTTACGATACTTAACACCCTTAGTCGTTATCACACAGGCTAAGGGTGAGCTATTTACATATATACTTTGGATGTTTTTGACTTACTTATCATTGTAGATATTAACTATAATATACCTACCTTACGATACTTGACACCCTTAGTCATTATCACACAGGCTAAGGGTGAGCTATTTACATATATACTTTGGACGTTTTTGACTTACTTATCATTGTAGATATTAACTATAATTAATAGGTACACTAATATAGTCGTTATCACACAGGCTAAGGATATTAACTGTGATTAATAGGGGTTAAATTCTCAACAGAGTGAAGTCTCAATGAGACGAAGACAAGAGTAGTATATATGCAGTAGGCTGATCAATAATGTTCAATAGCTGAGAAATGTGTCATGGACAGGTTACTTGAAGGCTAGAACTTGAAGCTACCAAGAGAACCGAGCGCTGATGGTACAGTCACCTCTGTCATAACCCATACCTCTCGGTCGACACCTGTAGTTATGGGTTATCAGAGAATATGGGTTCCCACAGAGACATTATATACACTTAAAAATGGGAATATAAATAAATATATTAACTGTTATTAGTGTAATGTACGACATTCTAGATGTGTTCTAAAGGACAACTAAGTTATGTTGAAGTGAAATAGTTAGTTGTTTGAGAGGGAACCATGTTATCGAGCTCCAAACGATGCATCTGCCTCGCAATTGGCACAAGATCAGCTTCTACTCTGTGAGCAGTGGGTGTGTTAATGCCGTTTCTAGTGTCTTTCCATCATGCCATGAGTTATGTACCAGCGGTTGCTGTTCCCGTCAACAAAACACCTTGCTTTGGCTGTGCTGCCATATAAACACTCACTATTAGACTATACATTAAATCTTAGGCTTGGGACATTGTCCAATACTTTGAAAGTACAAATTCAGAGTAAAACAATCAATCCAGTTGTACAACTGTATAACATTTATTTGAGTGACGCCGTCCACGGTTCACATCGCAGAAGACAAAATGCTGGTCACAACCTGCCACAACCTGGCAAAAAGTTTCATCGCTGTGCCCCTTGGCGCTGACCGGAAAGAACAGTACTAACTGCATTACTGAAAAGTACCTTCAAAATCCCGCGCACCACTTGAGCAGTCATGCGTATGATGGATTATCCACAATTGTCAGCATAGGCCAAGAATAACCAAGACTGAGAGCGCAGTGTTCAATTTACACAAATGTCTGGAACATGCTGGGCTTTTTGAATGAACGGCCAGTTTATCTTGTACTTCATCAGAAAGTTAGTACAGTGGGGGGCAACTCATTCACCATCACGTACTGAACAAACAAGGCACCACAGGAGTCTTCAATGATAGTCCCAAGCCCGATATCTATCTTATGACAATTTGCTTCTGCAGCTTGAGCCTCCTCTGATTTAGCCTCCTTGCCACTCCTGGTCGATTGACTCACTGGGGGGGCTGGGCAGTAGCTTCTGCATCCTTCTGCAGGCCAAAGTTGGTCAAACATCTACACTTGATGCAATCACGAACCTGGGATGGAAACTCAATATGAGCTGAGCAGGAAGAACTCTTCAACTTAGACCACAGGCTTATGGTGGAAGTTAAATGGCTTCAAGGAGAAGCTTCAGAATTTCAAACACTGTCTGGTGCTCTGAAGACATATGAACAGCTGTATTAGTCTGTACGCCAATCCAATGCAAACAATAGATCATTGGGGCATGCCAGTATCAGCCAGTGTTTGGCAAAACAGAGCTTGGTTGTTGCTGAAAACTGGGGTTGCATTAATTGCAATGCTGGTGCTGTACAGTTTTGAATAGTCACAAAAGCATCGATCTGAACCATAGTATTGGTGTTACAGTGCAATCTCTATTCAACGCCCTTGAGGATGCCTGGGCCTGCAGCATAGAAGAAAGGATAATTCAGGCCAGGTTCAGGTATTGGCTGGTGTAAGGCTGGTGGCCGGCCGCGTTGGATGAGACAATGTTTACACATATTATATTTAGAGCTGGCAGAAATGACTTGCCTTATATAGTAGTAGATGGGGTAGGAGAGACCTTACTAAAGCAAGGTGACAATAGAACAGTCACATTGAGTTTTGGGGGTGGATGATCCCAGCACATGCATGGGGTCCAGTTTGCAAGGCCGATTGGGGACAGAGACAGGTCACCAGTCAATTCATATGTGTAGGCCTTACTAGTGACTGTTCAATGGATAGCTTTATATAGTTAAGCATTTTAAGAGTTGGAAATTCCAGGCTTGTTACTGATTGCTGTTTACAATACTGGTTGTGAACTGAGTTTGAATCCTGTATAGTGTCTTTTGCTTTATGGATATGCCCGACCAATGCCTGATTATACACCAGCATTAGTCATGGATATCTAGAAAGAGGCTGGCTGCAAGTAGAATCTTAAAAGAAATCAAAGAAGGAGGTATGCATAAAGGGCCTCAATACATTTTGAAATAGCTTTGGAGTTCTGTGATTCAGTCACTTTTTGTGTATTAGTTGTTGCCTAAGTTGAGACCTTTGTTGAGACCTCCACAAATGGAGACCTGAGGAAAATAAGTGAATAGACTCCTGGGAGGTGTGGTTGAGACTATATTTCTAAAGTGCACAGATTAGGCACAAACTATGATTTTCATGAAGATTATCATGTTTTGGTGTG